ATCTTGTAAGGCTTGGAACCTGTTGTTGAGAGCTATCTTGAATTCATTGATTTTGTCAATATCTCGAAGGAAGGCTGTATTGAACCCTTGTTGTGCTGTTTGTCCACTTGTCCGGTTCTTTTTTAGCTTCAGTTTTAAATTGGCCACAACTAGGTGGTGATCTGAAGTTACGTCAGCACCTCTCCTGGTTCTCACATCTTCCATTGTCCTTCGGAACTTTTTGTTGATGCAAATATGATCTATTTGGTTCTCTGTAGTGTGGTCCGGTGAGATCCATGTAGCCTTGTGTATACGCTTGTGTGGAAGTATTGTGCCTCTTATGACCAATTTGTTGAATGCACATAGATTTGCAAATCTTTCTCCATTTTCGTTTCTTTCTCTCAGTCCATGTCGTCCCATAATATCTTCATATCCAGTGTTGTCTATTCCGACTTTGGCATTTAGATCTCCCATCAGAATAGTTAGGTCCTTTCTTGGGCATTTCTCAATGACTGCCTGCAGCCGCTCGTAGAACTGATCTTTAATGTCGTCGTTGCTGTCATTTGTGGGTGCATAACATTGGATAATATTCATTAAGATCCCCTCCTTCTTTGTTTTGAATGATGCTTTGATGATTCTGGATCCGTGAGATTCCCATCATACAAGTGCATTTCGTGCTACTTTGGACAGCATAAGAGCGACTCCCTGAGTGTGTGGAGCATTGTCCTCTTCGTGACCGGAGTATAGCAGCATCTCTCTCGTAGTTAGCCTTTTCTGTCCAGCTTGGGTCCATTGGGTTTCGCTAATTCTCAGTACTGCTAAGTTGTCTCTCCTCATTTCCATGGCTATTTGACTGGTCTTCCCGGTTTCCCACATTGTTCGAACGTTCCATGTACCTATAAAATTTTTTGCTCTGGTTGTTAGAAGGGGCATCGGCCTCGTGGCTTCAAAAGGAACTCGGCTTTCACCATGAAGCGTCATAATTCTTCTAAATGGAGACCTTCTTACTCCCAGGGCAGAGTTTAAATGGTTTGGATTATTTTTTCTGGTAAGCGTTTTTTAGCGAGTTAGTTTTCTACTGGATGGGGACGTTAATCCCATGCCCAACCCTCATCTTTTACCCGGGCTTGGGACCGGCAGTAACCCTATAAGAGCTACAGGCGGAGTTAAGTGAAGCGAAGCAAATCAATTAATAAGATTCAAGCACATATATACATATATGAGGAAGAGAATGATTCATCGAGCGATATTTCAGTGACTAAGATTTAAGTTATTGAGAGATATATGTGTAGGTTGTGACATGTGACCAAGCATACATGATCATACATACATGATATTGATCATAATGATGCAACTAGATAGATGAATGGTTACTGTTCAGATAACACTGTCTTTCAAATAATTTGATTAAAGGAGTTGACAAAAATTACCCGTAATCAAAAGTAATTGTAGGAGAGGTGTTATAAGATTTCAACAGTATTAGTGGTACTAGGATAGATTAGGTATCGAGCATACGAATCTAGGATATATAGATTAGTGAAATAAAAACACTAATGATAGTTATTAGGAATTCAGAGGCTTTGAATTTGGGGAAGACAAAAAACGTATGCACTTGCGCCAACGCAAGCGAGTTTGAGACGTGTCATTCAAAGTCTCGAACCACTGGTTACCGTAATCACGGGGATTCTAACAATCTGGTCTACACTTGCAAATACGAGTCAGTCCAACTGTCTATATCTTTACGCACTGGTTCCATGTTGTGAATTAGCTGCCTTTGATGTCCTTCCACTCTACCCCTACACTAGATGAAGTCGTCTGCCGAGGTAGATGGTGGTTGAGGACACGTAATATATGTCCCAACAACCTCAGATGATGAAGATTTACTACCTCATCAATCGATTTCCCATTTTCACCGAGTACTCTATTCTTAACTGCAAAATCGCTTACTTGGTGATCTCAAAATATACGAGTAATGCTTAAAAGACACTCATCATCAAAAATAACCTACAAATATCCTTTATCCCTGATTGTCATATTTCTCATTTATAATGTCGGACAGAGCAAACTGATGCATAATAAACTTGCTCTGAGGTCTGAAGATTTTTCAGACACTAAACAATTCGGACTGATCATACTCTCAAGACAAGTGAAGAGGTCGACGCATTCAACTACTTCACTCTCTATCATTAACTCAGGCGATGACGCAAACCAATCCTGATATAACATTTTGTATTTGAAGGTAGGGAACCATATCCCGAACATTCTTGGATTTTTGATTCAGGTGGTCAGAAAACTCTGCATTTTATCGACGTCTTAACCAAACAGAACTATTTTATCCGTATTGTAAGTCATCATTTGAGCCCCACAAGTGAGAGATAAATCTTTTAAAAGTCATTCAAGAGACTGGACTTGTATATTTTATTCCCTACAATAACAGGTTTATCTTTGAAATGCTAGGTAAAACATCACTGATGGGCAATTGAATGAACATCGAAGTGTGAATCGTTGAACTACATATCAATGACCTTAAGGTAATGCACACACTTTGAGGTCTAAAGTTCCTAAGTCCTATCTTATCTGTAGTTCTGAGTTCATTACAAAGCATAGAATATACATAATTTATGTAAGGAAGTAGGAATCTGTTTAGGACTTAATTAATCTCAATAGTTGAGATCATGAGTCAATTGAAGCTAGACCATCATGGAAAACCTGGAAGCACTGGACGACCGTTTCGTCCTATTGTGGGACTCCTCACCAGTTCGCATCCACGACCCCTCCTCGCAGGATTCGAAACCAGGACCTATCAGTCTCGCATCAGGCGCTTAACCAACTAGACCATTGAGCCGACATTAACACCGTTGGATGCCAGACGGCTCAGTGGTTCAGTTAGTTAGGCGCCTGGCGCGGGACTGATAAGTCCTGGGTTCGAATCTCGCGAGGCGGGGTCGTGGATGCGCACTGGTGAGGAGTCCCACGATAGAACGAAACACCCGTCCAGTGCTTCCAGGTTTTCCATGATGGTCTAGCTTCAATTGACTTATGATCTCAACTGTTCAAATCACTACAATCTCCACACAACCCCTTCTGATACTTAATTGACCAACAATAACTTTAGTTTTATTGTTGTTTAAATCTATGAATTAAATAACCATTACAATAAATGGATAATTGTATAACTTTTATATTTCATCTACGTGATATTTACCTAATAATCAATAGACTGATTTACAGTATTCTGTATTAATTAACACGACATACTAGTTTAACATTAACTACTATCATTCTTTTAAGTTTTAAATATTGAGGTCATTTATGGTATGATATGGTAGTTGATCGTTAAAGATCAAATGATTTAAGAAAAAAGGTTTTCTATCATATCGCATAATAAAATGAGAAGTTCAACTAATCAAAGTAAAATTAAGAAAGTATTAAATTCAAATTTTTACAGATAAGAATGTTATATGGAATTCATTGTAGATTTTTACAAGTTTCAATGATCTTTCATCTTTCTAAAAAGCTTGTGACTTAAAGTTATATTGAGACAATCGGCATAGGATGCACATATGCCAACATAAGACTAATCAATTACAGTTTTAAATAACAATGAGAAGATTTAAGTAAAACAACACAAAGTGAATTTTTACTAATACTACGATTAATAATAGAAGTACTATCACTATTAGCATTCGTATTACTACTGTAATGAACGAGAACACAGGCGAAGACAACTAAATGCACTTGGATACGAAATTATAGAATCTCTTGGTAAAGTATGTGAACCATACATTCAATACTTCATTTACAAACTATACATCTATTATCTCATACTTTGTTGTTCCTTCGTTCCTATACCAGTTACTTTCTATTCTCATTCTCTTCTTTACGATTTTCTCAATCTTTTGCCGCCAGACATTCTACTCTCGATTGATGATACATACTACTTGTATTAGTCGACATCAGTAGCACACACCATACTACTATTACTACCACTCCTAATAGTAGTAACAATATTACTACTAGTACTACCAATATCCTTATTATTACTACCATTACCAACATTGTGAATAGTTGGTTATCTAATCTTAATAAGAAATAACAAATACCTTATCTCTATTTCAACGAAATCTAGTAGTTTCTGTCAATAATCACTAAAATGTTTATCAATTATCAGAGCTGCTCATATTATTCATAACTTAAATAAATTAAAATAGTTGAGATCATGAGTTAATTGAAGCTAGACCATCATGGAAAACCTGGAAGCACTGGACGGCTATTTTGTCCTATTGTGGGACTCCTCAGGACGAAACAAAAATTACTACAATCTCCATAAAACCCCTTCTTATATAACTTAAATAGATAATCCTTTCAATAATCTAAGATTACATAAAGTCTTACGATCTGAACATTTTCCCCACCATATGACTTCACTATGAGAATTTTCCTCTTTAATAAGTCCACTTAAGTTATTATCCTTACAAAAGATTAGTTTGATCACTTTTTTTTAGTACGACTCTATGGCAATATACACAATCACATTCTCATATATATATCTCTCTCACAAACTTAAATGGTCAGTATAGGATTTTGAAGATTATGAAGTTTTTGATTGAGATCGTGAACCACTTGATGTTAGACCACCATTGAAAACCTGGAAGGAATTTCATGGATTGCTTAAGGTTAGACATGAACACCATTGGATGCCGACTCAGTGGTCTGGAGGCTAAGCATTCGCGTGCGAGACCGAAGGCCCTAGGTTCGAATCCTGCTAGTGGGCCTGTGGATGTGCAATGCTGAGAAGTCCCACAATAGAACGAAACAGTGCTTCCAAGTTTTCAATGATGGTCTAACATCAATCGGCACACGATCTCAATCAAAAACTTAAATGGGATCAAGTCAATTCCAATAAGAAAAACAAAACCATTCATATTTTAATAAATAAAAATATTTATTTATCTTTGGACAACAATATAAAATGAAAGTGATGTATTGTAGAATAAATTAGAAAAAAAAAACAAAAAGGAGGGCCGTTGATCATTTCAATGTTCAAATAAAGTGCCTTCATTGTTCATTGTCCAATTTCAATATTTCTTTGAATGAATTATGTAATAATATTATCTATTTCCATATATATATATATATACGTACAATACTGAAAATGCGTTTTATTATTATTTATTTTTTTTGAAAAAAAAGAGGTTCATAATCTTGTTATCTTTAATAAATTTTAATTATTCATTGTTGATAGAATAGTAACTGGTATATTAGAATGATGTAATACATATGAACTAACACTTCCAGTAATTGCACGTTGAATAAAATTTAAACTACGTTTAAGCATAATAATATTATCAATATGTTGTTCATGAATCATTTTAATGATAGCTGGACCTGGTTTTGTATCAATTTGTATCAATGCTTCCGATTTGATACCATATATATTTGCTTCATGTACAACTTCTTGACATAATAATTTAGCTTTATTCATTATTTTTTCAGATACATGATATTTATCATTATATGGCATTGTTTCATATTGACTTGATAATCCAGATAAAGCAGATGGTAGAATAGGTTCAATAACATGTAAGAAAATAATCAAATCACCAGAAAGTTTCAGATTATTAACATACCATGATATTGCTTTATGTGCTTCGGAACTTTCATAAATTGGAATTAATATTTTTCTTATAACTTTACTTTCTTCAGTTGAAATGAGTCCAGGCATATTGATAATAAAGAATAGATTTCTTTATTATAAATAATTTGTGCGTGGTTTTATGACTACTTTATGGTGCTTATATAATTGCGATTGCTTTGATTTGATTGGTTGATATTATTGCAACATTTTGATTGGAGGAAACATTTTTCATTTTGTAAACTACTCAGTGGAGTTAATCAATTAGAAACTTTTTTAATGAAATGATTGTAGTATAAATAGACCATTGGCTTGTAAAAACATCGGGAAGTGATCATTGTATGGCCATTTGGTTAACTATATTTAAGTAAAGGGACATATTCATGTGAATCAGGCCTGGATTAATCAGCCTCTTTCTATCGGTACTTCGTTGTTGTAATGTTTTCTAAACTAAATAGCTCTTAGTAGATTGTAAGGAGATTCAGACCATTTTTTTTCGCATAACTCATACACTCGAAACCAGCAGTCATTTCTTCACATGGCATGGTCTTATATACTAGGTTGCTATAGAAACATTTTGTTCACCAAACATACGTTACAGTTAGAGTTAGTACTTTTATATAATTGAACTGACCAAAAGTCTCTATTGTCACTATATTCTACGACAGATTGATGTAAAACATGGTTGTGGATAAATCTTTGAACATGACAGAGTATAACAACTTAAGTACAAAATTATTTAAAAGCTTCTTTTACTAGCATTTTGTTATTTCAGTTGTAACATTCCTGATATAAGCAATGCTTGGATTCCTCTATAGAATAGGCTAAAAACATGTTTCTATACACATAACTGTCCTATTTTTTAAATGCTACATTCAATAAAGGCTAAATACAAGCAAATAATACAAGAAGATAATATGCATGATATTAGCTTAGAGAACTAAGAAAATTAAGTTATGACCACAAAGCCCGAAGCCTCAAGAATTGATTACTGACTCAGATGTGTGAGGTATATTGTTGAAGAGCTATTTATTGTCAAGCAATATTTTGATTAATTTCCGACAACTGACACTAAAACTCAGTCAGTTGATCAATTTATAGTATTCCTCTTCTATCATCATACATTGATATGACATAAAATATAGGGTGTGTTACTGCTAAATACAAAAGTATGTAAGATCTCCTTAATGAAAGAAACTCATTGTTTTTTGAATAAATACCCAGAGTTAGCATGATATAAGCCTAGAACTATGCTGAATCGATAACCGGCAAGAAAATTCTAACTTGGCAAAATGGTTTTCTTCACAACATAATGACGAAAAAAATCTGAAACGTTATTACAGTTCCCTATGTTTGATCAGCTCACTAGTAGTATAGTTATAAATTTTATAGAAATTGTTTAATATGAAATGAGTATCGATTATAAACTGAAGTAAGTTAAATTCTAGGAGGCAAAGAATATATATATATTCGTAGTGGCAGTCATTATTCATATCTATATGTTGGAAACTATAAGACCTTATAGTGAGCGCAATGCTTATAATTTACTCAAGTGGGACACATTGGTACAAGTTTCAGCTTCAATAAATCTTCAATATAGCTCAAAGACTATTCTATGACATCAGTGATATTAGTGTCATTCCTGACCCAATTAATTTTAACCAGTCAAGGCCTTTCACTAAAGCTTTAGGAGTTGTAAAACCTAGTCATACATAAACCAACAATTACTGCTTGTATTGGTTACATCACGAACTAACTTCAGTTACCCAACCTTTGAAAATAAGGAAGGATTAAACAGCTATTTTATCCTAATAATGAGTTTTTCAAGATTGCACATTAACAGTGTTTAGCAGCTACCGAACCCTGGGGCATCCAGATCTGACACTGAGCATTTAACCTTGAGACTGCTGAGTTAACATCTAATAATTTAGACGTTTAAATCCAGTTAATTGATGATATTACATGACTATTATCCAGCGAGATTAGTAATAATTATTTTGCATGAAATATGTTTAAATTAAACTGGACAAGGCTTTTCAATAGAACTCGGGTGATTATCTCTTCAAATTAAACACTACTAGTCACATAATTACTGCTTAGATACGGTAATTTATGAAAATTATTCAATTTGGATTTATTCGAATGTATGAGTGATATCCATTTTGGTACGAAATGATTACTGTCTAATATCAAATTCAAAACTACAAAAAATTAACTCATTAACAAGGTCATTGGGTATAAGATAAACTCTAAGTGTATGAGCTAATGATCATAACTAGCTAGTTACTAAAACCGAATTAAGCCGAAAGTGTAATATTAAAACCTAAATGATGTCATAAAGGTGAACCGTTGCATTGTAACTACAGAGTTTAAATCTATCGTGTTGGTCATGAGAATTAAAAGTTCTAATAATCATTTTGAGTAAAAGTAGGTCTTGGTACATACATTGATCAGAAATTCCAAGCTTTGCTTAAACAAATATCCAGAATTCCTTGCTCACTCAAAAGTTCTCTAACTAATGTCAATTAGCAATGAAGGAATACAAATGATTGATCAGTTAGTAGTAACCAATATCGCGGTTGTTTAATCCTTTGATTTTGATGGAAGTTTATCAGTTAAGTTATAATATCGATACTAGTAAAAATGAACTGACACTATGTGGTTTTAGTCAGTTGCCAGAAAACTACTACGTCTAGGACTACAGTGCAAAGTCGTGAATGGAGGAAAGCTGGCAGATGCATTCCAAGTGAGGATCGGAGTCAGATAAGACTGCTTACTTTCACCCTTTCTATTTCTTCTGTTAGTTGACTGGATTATGGAGAACTCAACATCCGAGGGGAATCCTGGAATAAAATGGACAGCTGGGATGCTACTAGACGATTTGGACCTCGCATATGACGTCGTCCTTCTATCCCATACACATCAACAAATGCAAGTGAAGGCAATTAGTGCATCAGTAGGCCTCAATATACACAAGGGAAAAAGCAAGATCCTCAAATACGACACAAAGAACACCAACCGAATCATGCCTGATAGATAAACTGTGAAACAGGTGGAAACTTTCACGTGACAGGTCAGCATAATCGACAAACGAAGAGGAGCCGATGCAGATGTAAAGACAAAGACAGACAAATCAAGGACGGCATTCCTACACTTGAAGAACATGTGGAAATCAAAACAACCTTCAAACAACATCAAATTCAGAGTCTTCAATACGAACGTCAAGAGCTGAAAAGTGGAGAACTACTACAACCGTCATCAAGAAGGTACAAGTATTTCCAAACAGTTGTCTACGTAAGATACTCAATATTCGTTGGTCGGATATTATCATCAACAGTCTACTAAGAAAGAGAATAAACCAGTTTCCAGATGACGAGGAAATCAGGGATGTGGATAGGACATACATTGAAAAAAAATCATCAAACTGCATCTCGAAGCATGTACCAACTGCAATCCTGAAGGGTAGCAAAAAAGAGGAATACCAAAGAACACACTGTTTCAGAAATTGGAAGTAGACATGAAAATAATGAATAACAACTGGAAAGACCTGTAAACGATTGCTTGGGACAGAGTTGGATGCCGGTTGGTGGCTTATACTCCTTCATAAGAGGTAACAGACGTATATAAGTAAGTAAATAGTTGAATTTCACTAAACTAAACTGGTCTCTTATATAAATTATATTCAGTTGCCTTTTATTTTAACTGTTCAATAAATGTTACTAAAGAACGTTTTTGAACTTTTGAAATAAAATACACCATTAAATGGAATTTAGCATCATCTAACTCACTTTGATTATTATTATTATTATTATTATTATTATTATTATTATTATTATTATTATTATTATTATTATTATTATGTTCATCGACATTCATTCTTTCACAAAACTGAGATAATCATTTTGGCAATAAGAAATCTCATATAAGATTACACGATTGTCTATCTTGTTTATGAAATGAAGTAAAACAAATATTTTATCCTTGTTACATAACGTCAAAAAAATATGCGGAAATTTATTATTGAATAATGATAATAATAATAATCCAGGTAAACTAAACTGAGTAAATAAAATGTTAGTGATATAATTATGAAAAAATGGCTGGTAGTTCAAGTTAGATAAACAATTTAGGTATTTTAATAATAAAAAGAGAAAAAAGAAAACAAAAACTGATATCAAATGAAAATTTATTTCAACGACTGAGATTGTGAGTCAATTGAAACTAGACCACCATAGAAAACCTGGAAGAACTGGAAGGCCGTTTCGTTCTGGTATGGGACTCCTCAGCAGTGCTCATCCAACGGAGTAAATGTCTAACTTCAACTAATCCACGAAATTCAGCGACACGCTCACCTTTGTCTTCAGTAAGTTACTACCTCATAACAGACTCGGTTGAACTCCATTGGTCACTAATTCTTACTAGAACAGCAGAAAATACCTATTGCAGCCATTCACTAGTGATTATATGCTGATTAATATGAGAATGGGTTTTTGTGGATATTATAGTAAATTTAATAGTTAAAATCGTGAGTCAATTAAAGCTAGACCACCACGGAAAACCAGCGAGCACTGGAAAGCCATTTCATCCTATTGTGGGTCTGCAATTGATCAGTCTCTTGTTGGCATATATGTATCCTATGCGGATTGCCTCGATATAGCCTTATGTCACAAGCTCTTTAAGCAAAGATGAACTCAGTAGTTAAGTGGATAACATGATGGGATTTGAAGTGAATGGTACTGGATTAGAATCCTGGAGTGAACATCAACTCTGTGATTCAGGTACATCTAGCTAATGAGTCCCAAATAAGACCAAACGTGCGTCCTGGATTCCATTACTAGCCACTATCCATCTTTGCTTAAAATTACTAATGTTATATATTGTTTATTTATTACCTACTAATCTAATTATTAGAAATTTTTATCATGAAATAAATGCCTACAATAACTGTTTAAATGTTAGTTAATCAACAATTATAAATTGTTTTAATAAGAATGAAATTGGTAATTTTGTAAATTGTCCAAAAAATCAGTATGTTTAGTAAAATGTAAAATTGAAAATCACATCACAGTGTATAATATGAACATTAGATTTCAGGTAAGTTAAGATAATAAACA